TGGTACATGGTAAGGATGTTGGCTGTACCCACTGAATGTCTGTAAAGCTATACGTTCTGTATAGCAATGCTTTTCTAATTGATAATTGAGTTGTCAACAAATATGCACAAGAAAACAAAACCGTTAGATTTTGTTATTAGAATAGTCTGCTTGTAGGATGTACTGTTTGCGTGACTATTATAAATTATTACCAATAAACATAAGTGGGAAACTGTTACAAAATATAGCCCTGAGCAAAAATTGACACTGTTTGAAACGACAAGACTTCTTTACATATGCAGATCATATGTTTTATCCTTAAAATATAGGAAAAAATGGGTCAGAGATGAAAACCACAACAGAGAGCTGTGTATTTCAATGGTAAACATACTGCATCACAAGCTATAATAGAGTATTTCAGTGTTTCAGCTAAAATCATTTCTAAGGGATCCAATTGAATTTAAATGGTAATGATAAAAATGTTTACACTCACTGACAGCATTTTAGGTTTGCATTTTAGACAATTGGGTGTTTTTTTTTCTTTCTAATTATCTAGGGACAACTTCAATGGATTGGATCTTTGGCTCATGTGCTGGGTTTTGGTTTTCTCTTTTTTCTCATAGTTATGCTTCATGGTATTCTCTGGCACACAGAAATACTAAAATGGAACTTGAGCACTTGGAAATGTGGGGGCAGTGGAGAGCTTGGGCACTCCTCACCTTTCCCCTTGCGACTGATTTTGCTTTGCATGTTTCCTTCTACTTATTACAGATCAGATGAAAATTAGATAGTTGATGGTCCTCAGTTACTGCAAATTTTTTCTTCCTAACAATTTTGTGACATTTTCATGTGTCATGTAGATCTGACACAGAAGACAGGGAAATTCTGTAGCTTCCTTTCTCCTTGACACAGTTTCTGAGCACTGTATGCAGAATCTGCTAACTCTCTCCAAGCTGAATGGTGGTGCTGTGTCAATTTTCCTTCTGACCATTACTTTTTAAGTATTCTCTGTTTCTTTTCAGCATCTATGCAAACACTTTAATGAAGCCCTTAAAAATAATAATAAAAAACTTTGCTTTGAGAAGCTGCTTCGTATTAGAGTCTGATTTGATTTAACTAAATTATGATGAAAATACTTGAAATTGTATGTCCCACTAAGACGATAAGTAGAATCACAGAATTGTAGGGGTTGGAAGGGACCTCCAGAGATCATCGAGTCCAACCCCCCTGCCAAAGCAGGTTCCCTACAGCAGGTGGCACAGGTAGGCATCCAGGCAGGTCTTGAACATCTCCAGAGAAGGAGACTCCACAACCCCCCTGGGCAGCCTGTTCCACTGCTCCGTAAAGTAACTCTTCAATTTTTATTTAGGGTGCTTTAGAAGGAAAAGGCAGTGAAAATTGGTATAGATTTCATCAGTGGGCTGTATGAAAAGGATAGGAGGTTCAAAGTCTCAATACACTGAACTTTAAATTGTTTACATTTCTTAGCAACAACTGGTTAGTTTAATTAATAGAGGCTATAATATTTTGTTTTATTTGCATTTGCATTAGCAAATTATTTGCATTTTTAGGCTGTTTCAATTATTTCTTTTTGTCTTAATCTTTACACGTGGAAATGAATTCACATTAAAAACTGGTGTCCCATCTGCTCACACCTGTGCAGCCTAAGCAGTGGAGGGCTGGTGGGAAGGAGAGAAGTTACTGTGCTGTTGTTCTTGACCACAATGCCAATCCGAGGTAGATATCTCTGAAATACTTCCCAGGTAGTTTCAGCTGGGCATGGTATCCCCTGTAATATTTTTCTAAAACTTGTCCTTTATCCCGGTAGTAGCTGCAGCTCACTGGTAAATCAGGTGGTTTCTGTAAAGGATCTGTAAACACATATTAGGGTTCCCATTGTGTGCGTACGTGAAGATCAGATTGTAGAAGCCTTTGTTCAAAAACCAAAGAAATTCTGTGCACAGTGCTGCCTCGTGAAAGCCTGTTTGCAAGGATTCTGACAAAAACTTCAGCTCCTCATCTGTGGAAAGGAAGTATGGCATTTTTATTAGTTTGGTTTTATCTGATCAAAATGTGTGTGACATCATAATTTTCATGGGTCTGTACTGCATTTTTCCCTCTGTTCCCACTGACCCATATTCTGATGTGTGCTCCTGTGTTTTCTGCGTAACCCCTTGCAAACAGTGCCACAATGGGGAGAGTCAGCTGGAGTGTATCTAGTCGTGAAGGCAGTAGACGAGGAGGTGCAGTGTTGTGTGATGCAGCGTAGCGCACAAGAGCAAAGATCACTGGCCTAACCCTGCACCCAGGTTTTAGCTGGAAGGCCCAGGCTTTTGGTAGTGATGTTGCCAGCTGAGAACCTTGCAGCAGCCAAGTTCCTGTGCATACAGCACCAGTTGCCAGTGGTGTTCTTGGGTACACGGAGCCTTAGCCTTTTCTGCAGGACTGACGAAGAAAGCCACTGTGCTTTCATTCTCCTCAGGGGTTAGGATTGCATCTGACACTGGTGTGGTTGGGCAGT